AAGGAGGAGATTTGGTCACAAAATTGGAGGTTCAATTTGACAAGATTGCTGAATCAATAAAAGAGGAATTAGCAGAAGTGATGACACATTGGAATTAATCACTATTGGTATAATTACTGTCCATTAGCATTAATTATGCTAATTGTTATTAAACTAAAAATTGATATCAGTTCCATCCATTTTTGTTCCCTCTATGTTGGAAAATGAAATCGAAGGGAAAACCTTTCTGTGGGAGTAATACAATTTCCCTCGGGTTCAATTGGGAGAGGAGGGGCGAGATCTTCCTACTAAACAAACTACTCCCATATTTTATCCCTCTGAACATTCTCCTCTCTCTCGCTCGGGAATGTCGGATAATCCGAAATTAATTCTTAACTGTAATCAAGTAATTGTATTTCTTTTAAAGAATTGGACAATTTGATAGGATTTGAAGATTCACCATCCGTGAGAAATGTAAATGAGCTTTACGTCGTTCTTTGTTAGTAATTAACAAATTCTCACCATGGAAACTGTTTTTTTTATCACATGTCCATTTACATATTTCTTATGATTTCTCTTTACATTTTTCCTTCTCTAAATCATTCCGTATCACGACATTCCCATTAATTTACATCCTGTTTAAGCATTTAAATATCCCAAAAAGGGGACAAGGCTTTTTTTTTCGTAATTTCGAAATTGCTTACTACTATCAACTCTTTATTTGTATTTCAATCATCTTCAGATTGGTTTTCTGTTTGCTAACAATTTTGCTCTATTCGATTTATTACACGTAAGTATTTCCTTTTGCTATAACTAACACATTCACACAAAAATAATTCACGACACTTTGATTGAATACATACACAATTGCGGAATATGCAACGCTTGAAGCATCCGTAAATACATGAATTTCTGTTTGTGATGAGGATGTTATCACGAGAATTAACAAATCTATTACATTTGATGGTTGATGCATGCCATCGTTGCTCATCTTCCTCATTTAAAACTTGATTCCAAAAATTGTTTTCTTTCCATAAATGTTGGATAAATAGCTTGAATTAAATCATCGATGGAACTAAGAAACCCAATGGACCATATTGTGAAGCAACGAATTGTAAAATCGTTCTTTTAATTAATTTGATTTCAATCTATTGTTTTAATATTATGGCTTTCTCAAGCTGTGTAAAAAGACTGATGTAGAAGAAAATTAATATATCTGATGGACTCAACATCTTGCATCTTATACAATCTAAATTAGATAACGGATTGACATACCGGATATGAAAATTCTTATGCAACATAAATCAGATAATGGATTAATCACTCGATGTGAGAAAACGTTGGAAATTGTAATGTTATGAATCGTTTATCAAGGAATAATTTCACAATAAAAATGTTAAGGATAAATCAGCTGATGTTAAATACAATCATCAGAAAGAAATATGTAAATGAACATCAGCTTAGGAAATAGTTTTTATGGTGAGAATTTGTTAGTTACAAGAAACGATATAAAGCTCATTTAAGTTCATTACAAATGGTGAATCTTTAAGAAATTCTTTCAAATTGCCGATCATCTGATTATACAATTCTTTAAAAGGAATACAATTACTGGGGTATAGTTGGGAATTAATTTCGGATTTCCCGACAGTATTTCCTCTATTGCATGATTAATTCTTTCAATTTTCAGTTATTCACTTTTTTTTTTATTTGTCAATTAACTCATTCTGCCCTTTTTGCGTACTGTATTCCATGTACATGTTTTAACTTCTACATGCTATTTACTAAAAAGAGTCGAAAACACGTACTATTGTGCGTACTTTTTGTTCGAGAAATCAACTGATGAAAGTCTATCCTTGTTGAAAAACTCATTTGCTGTCATCTCAATTTAAACATTTTGAAGTGTTTTTTTTAACATTTTATTAATGCTGTGCGATATTTATTGATTCACATAATCGAAACGCACACAATTGCAGTTTTAGACTGTAACATATTTTGAATCACCAAAAAAACCGATCAGAGCATAGCACCAATTTTATTAGAATTTCAATAATTCAAGAATTGCTACACGACTTCTCTTAACAGAAGTACCACAAATGAACAAAAATTATATATTAGCTTTTAGCTTTTGTTTCACTCTTCTGACGTTGAATCATTCTTTGCCGAATTAGAAAGAAATGACAACCATCGACAATCCGAAGAGACAATCACAAGAGAATAACCTTTAGTGATAATTAGTAATAATTATTTGGACATTTAATTCATTTTTTTAACACTTTGAAAAAAGAAATTTACTTACTGTCACGAAAAATTAAGTAATAGAAATAATACGTGTAATTTGGTGATTTTCGTACAAATAATTCAAAATTGTTTAAATTGTGATGTGAGCTAATAAATGGAAAGAATGAAATGAAATCAATCTATCATAATGGCATTATTGAAGCATACAATTTATAACAACCGATATTAAAGGAAAGGATGGAACAGCAGTCGATTAGGCTAATTAGGCTAATGTCATCGAAGTCTTTTCAAGTCCCCATTATAATCATTTTGCTTATTTTAATCATAAATGTGGCATTCATCTTAATTTATCACATAAACATATAGTCCTTGATTAATTACGGAATGCTTTATATAATTTATAACTAATATGATATCGTTTCATTGATATGTTGGTGACATGACAAATATGCCTTACATCACCTTACACCGACATCTAATTTTCACTGAATTTTATCAGACATACACGGTGCATTTAAATGAAAAAAAAAGTTTGCGATTTGAAAAGAAAATTTCAGTTTCATAGAAACTGTGAAATTGAGGAGTAGTAGAAAGCAAAGAAGCGGAAATTTTCATTGTTCTCATTAACGAATTTTTTCTTATTTTTCAGAAAAACATGGCCATGACAGAGTAAGTGATTTATTTTGGCCAAATATACTAAAAAGTAGTGACTTAATAGGTCAATGCAAAACAGCCAAGTACAAATAAACTAAGTCACTCCTACTAAGATTTATCATGGGACATCTAAGGAGAAGAAAAAATGTAATGAAATTATTTGAACACTTTCCTTCTTTGCTCTTTTCCGCATTAACTTTATCCTTATTGTCACCTTCCACAGCACTTTACAGGCAACAGCACTCATTCTTATCCCTGTCTTAACACTGATAACTTATCCATCATTCTGTTCATTCTGTTAAATGATTTTATATCTCACTCTTCTGGCATTGATCCATCCATATATTGTGGATGTAAATGCGTATTATTTCACTGAACACGATTATGAACTGGTAAAAATTATGAACTTTTGTCATTTATTACGATTAGTAGCTGTTTCAAATATTTTATTAATATTGAAGTGATAAGAGATAATAGAGCACGAGGAATGATAGAGGCACGATAAAGTGTACAAGTGTACCTGAGATGATTCAAGCAAATACTATCGATTGATATAATCGTTTTTTTTTCTTTGTTAAATAACTGTACGATCTTATTTGAATAATGAGTTGGTAAAGTTTAGGATTATAATGGAAGAAAGGAGAATGTGAATAGCTGTCATGCCGGTAGCCAAATATTATTTCATAATTTGTAAAAAGAAAAAAAATTGAAAAAATTTCGATTAAAAAAAGCGTATGTTTCCAAGGTGATGACAAAAGTACGACAAAAACGTGAAGAGGTTACGAGACGACCTCAAACAGCTAACAATATAGAAACAGCATCGAAATCAATAACACTGCCAAAAACGTTTCAATTCAAAGAAATGACAGAACAGAATTGCGAGGAAAATAATGATGATAAATTGGCTAAGGTAAAATATCATTTAAAAATTTTTAAATATGCAAAAGTAATAGCTGCTTGTACAGCTTATCGGGGTTATTGATGATATTTTGCTCTTTTAAGCATTTATGTTTACAATGCTAAGCCAAGAACGAATTGGACAGAAAAGTGATTGCAATTAATCAATAAAATTTAGGCAGAAATTGATAAAATGACAAAAGTGGCAAGTTTCAATATACAACTTCCCGAAATAATAATAAGTTCGATAATAATAATGAGGAATTATCTAGAAAAAATAAGGTAAAAAAGTGAAAAACATTGAAAAAACAAGAAAGAAGTTTGATGTCCAAAAGTATGATTTAAAACTTATAAACAATTTTTCTTCCTTACTTTTTCAATTTGCCTTTAGAAAAAGGTTAAACATTGATAGAACGAAGTTTATTTCAAGTCAGTGCTGGAGCATTTGATGCTTTCTTATGATCGTAAAACGGTACCAGTGGCAGATGGTGTTAACGTAAAGGTTGATCTAATGGTTCAGGCTATTTCCAGTATATCCGAAATGACTGCAAGTTTTACTGCAGATGTGTTTTTTAGTCAAATTTGGCTCGATCCTGGATTAGCATTCGAAAATATCACCAAGTAATTATTTCAATTAATTGAATGGAAATTTTTCAAGAATCTCCTATGGAGAAAAATAAAAACAAGACAGTTTTAGAAGTTCTAATTTTTTTTTTGTTTTTTATTTTATGTTTTATAATGTTGATATTGCAGATGCTTGGCTAATTTAACACTGAGCCATCGTACCATTGATGATATTTGGTTGCCCAACGTGTGTTTTCAGAATAGTAAATCTACCTCAATACACAATAGTCCAACACCGAATATATTTCTGCTAATCTATCCTAATGGTACAATTTGGGTCAATTATCGGGTTAAGGTATCCATGCAATATTTTTTAAGCGGTAGATATAAATTCAATTGCAATTATTAATTGTTGATGATACAGTTTATTTATACTTATGTCATGAAATGAGAAAGAAGTGCAAAAAAAAGATAAAATTTAAAAATTTATGCAAATTTTGGAAAAAAAAATCTTTAATCTAAAAAAAATCTTAAAAAAATCTTTTTATGCGTCCATTGATAGCAAGATATGCTATTTAAACCAATTCATTGATAATATTTGGGAAAAATCTGATAAGTTTAGGTAGAAGCACCGTGTGAATTGGATATGTCATCATTCCCGATGGATGTGCAACGATGTACTATGACCTTTGAATCTTACTCTTTTAATGTTGGTCGTGTACGATTGGATTGGTTCGGAACAGCCGTTATTCTAGATTTGCAGGTTTTTCCTCATTACTTCAATACTGCATATCAGAATTTTATTAGCTATATGCGGAAAATTTTTAATCTAGCAAGCTTCAAAAAAATCAAATTATTCCATCCAATACATTCATCGATAATAATATTGTTACAGAATTTCATATTATTTTTCATTTTCTTTCTATTATAATCCATACTGAAATTCCATGCATAATTCGTTGGAACTGATGAAAAAGAAATACTGAGAAATGGCCGATGTTTAATTTGCAGGGAAAATTGCCGGATTTTGAATTAACACGTTATACGTGGCAAAAACAACAATTTTATTATGCAGCAGGACAATGGGATCAGCTGAAAGCAACTTTTTACTTTCGTAGAACTTACGGTTATTACATTTTACAGTTATACATGCCGACGTATGCATCCACCTTCATTAGGTATATTTGTCAAAATCTGATTTGACACTTATTTAATTTCCAAAAAAATAGCGCAATGATTAAATTTCAATTCTGACAAGTGCGCGAAATTTAAGTTATAATTTTCTTTATTTCATTTTTTCAACGAATGTTTTTTTAATATTTTATGCATCAATAAATAATCATCTCAAATGATATTTTTAAGGAATTAATGGATGATTTTTTAAAAAAAAATTGATTTTTAAAAAAAAATTCTATCCTATGCTTTAAATTTTTCCTAATATTTATTAATTGATTTGAAATTGTGAGAGTGTACTGCTACATATGCAATAATTTATTTACCAGAAAAAGAGAAATTCAGGAAATAAATTCAAATTTCATGTCTTATCCTGGCATTATCAGAAGTTTTTTTTTGATTTACATATCATTAGTTGGCATTTGTCAACCAAAATTTTCTTTGATTATTAAAATTTCATTTAAAAATGAGGAAAAATCATCAAATTTGATTGTCCTTTAAGAAAATTTTTCTTTTAAGCGATGGAAAGAATCTTTTTTTTTTCCTGATTATAAAAATGATTATGCGAATGGGAACACCGTACTTTTTGCACTGCTCTAAAATTGTTAAAATAAATGTGCAAATCGATCCCAATGGAATCAAAAGTCTAAACAGATTTAAATAAATTTTAGCTAAATAAACATTTATTCATAATAAAGTGTCAAATTTTGAAGTAGCAAATTAACTTTCGATTTTCACAAGGTTATGGTGCTGAAATTTTTTTAAATTGAAAAATACTGTTGAGAATAAGTTTTTTTTATTTCGAAAACAATTTTGAAAAGGTTAGAAATTAGTGTTCAGATTGTTTCGTTAGTTCTTATAAATTCTTTGATTTGGCATTCTGTTGCATTTTAACTTTTGATTTCAAATAATCATTTTAATAAATAAATTTGATTTGCATAAAAAGTTAAACAAAATTTTGAGTTGGATAGCGTTCTGGATCGATTCAAAATGCTTGCCAGGTCGAATAACCCTTGGTGTCTCTTCATTAATGGCGCTTACATTTCAGGTCTTTTTGTTTTTAACGTGATAATTTTTCTTTTTAAATGAAATTTAACGATTAAAATTTTAGTGAAATTCTATTTCTCTTTCGTCAACTCTAATCTCTTAAATGATATCGAACTGTGTTTCAGTATGGCAATGTGGCTCGAAGTTTACCGAAGGTTTCCTATGTGAAAGCAATGGATGTTTGGATATTTGCATCCATGGTAAGCTTTTGGAAAAATTCAGCTCAAATTTTTTAAATATTATTTTTATCGAGATCGAAAAAAATCCCTGCACAACATAATGTTTCAATTCAATTTCAATCAGAAATTAAATTTGAAAATTATTGTTGATCGTTGTTATATGAAATCACTTTTAGGGCTTTATATTTTTTTCATTGATTGAATTAGCTATTGTTGGATATGTCGATAAAATTGCAAGCGTGAAGGACGATTGTCAAGAGGAAAATTTTGACGATGTGAAAAGAAGGAAAAGTTGTATCAGATGCGATTATCAAGCAAAGGCCCGAAAAAGGTAAGCCAGAAATTTAAACGACTATTTATTTTGTTATAATCGGAATTAATGCCTACTATAATCCGTCGTTCAATTTAATTTCATTACTATTTTTCGGAACAATTTGTTTTTCTCTGCAAGCAGGCAGAACGGACAATGTAATGATGCTTATATGAATCTTAAATGGTTCAGTCACTATTTTTTGAATATGTGAATTTTTTCGGTGGAATTGCTAGTGAGTAAACAGGGTAAAAAAGAAAGGTCGAGAATTAGAGATAAAATAATAGTCCAACTTCGAGCTTATTTTAAAGTTGAAAGAGATCAATGGAAACAAAATAAAATACTTCAATATTATCCAAAATGAACTGTTGAAGTGCTTCATGAATTAAACCGCAATAGTATTGAGACATTATAAATGAATTGCCTATTTATTAAAGTGATTTTCAAATAAGATAAAAAAATTAACTGAATCTTTGAGCCTTTTCAATTTTCAAAATAATTCGCTAGGTGAAATAAGCATATGAAATTAAGCATTTTCAAGCAATTTAGTAAGAGTATTGCCTTGAAAGATTAGTAATATGAAAAGGCATCAAGAAATTTGGTAGTGAATGTATTACTTATTAAGTCACACTTGTGAAATCAAAATTTAGGCATAAGGTATCATCGGAAGCATATAAAGTAACAAAAGACGCAAACGTTCATGAGCTAGAAATGATTTGCTATCACGATTCGCTGGGTTCAAGGAATATCTCGAAGTGGTCGAAAGCTAAATGGACAGGCGAAAGGGTTTCTTTAATCATTCATTTTCTTATTTAAATTTCTTCGAACCTTTTCAATTTTCAAGCACTATCACAGCATATAAAATAATCATCTTCCGGCAATTCAATAACAGTATTGTCTTGAATGATTAGTGATATGGAAAGGTTACAATTGGAACAAAAACAAATTAAACTGTCTTATATAGACAATGGGATATTTTACAATATTTTGAATTAATCATAGATTGATGCTGAAAGAAATAATGAAAAATATTGATCTTTGTGCTATTTCTACCTTTAGAATTTTTAACATCTTATCCAGTTTTGAATGAAATTTTCCTCTGATCAATAAGAATTAGTGTAAGAAAAGATTGAATAATTTTGATTCTTATCATTCTTTTATCATTTACAGTAAATGTAGTAAAATCATATATTTATCTTTTTAGATCGATAAACTTTGTCAGTTCATTTTTCCACTATCATTCATATGTTTCAATTTCTTTTATTGGATATACTACACTATGGAATCATCGGAACAAATGGCAAGACTACTGGATGATGCTAACTTCACGGATCTTTCCTCGTAACAGAGCGAAATCCTGGATGACATTTTTTTTTTAAGCTTTATCCTATTATTTTATTGCAAAATGTTAAAAATCATTGTATTAGAATTCATCATCATGATTACTTTTTATTATCTAGAATTTCGGACTCTATAATCGATTTTATTTCTCCATATCAGATCAATAAGAAGTATCCGGATGATAAAATCTGCCTCAAATATGACTAAAAAGTTAGCAGTCTTTCATGAAAATTCAATTGTCATAAGATATTTGCCTTCAAACGCATGAGATTAGACGACTTTTAATGTAAATGAAATAATTTGTTTCAAATGATTCATTAATTTGTAATAAATATTATCATTCAATATATTAATTATTGTGCCTCTACATTGCTTACATTATTATTCCTGCTAAAGGAAAAGAATGAGTAGAAATTGAACAAACTTAAAGTTGTTTTTTTTATTAAGTACACATGACTAATGTACCTTATGTCATTTGATATTACAAAAAGAATATTATATCCGATAAATAACAGCATACTGTGATAAATTTAAAAAATAAATATGGCATGAGAAAAATTTCAAATAAATATTTAAGACTGGAAATATCTGAAAAATGAAAAATTTCAATTTACAACAGTTTCCGAAACTAAATTTTCAAACTTCGAAATTATTTTTCAGTTGACAATAACATCACCTTTGGTAAACTCTAAATTCTTCCGTTTTATATCAACGAAATTTTTAGGATTATTCGTTAGTTATCGAGCAATTATTATTCAATTTAAAGCTTCCTATCCATCGCTATCGCAATTTATCGAAATATAGGGATTTACATCAAAAAGTTGTACTTTACATCAACAAAAAATGCATTATTTTTAATGCTGTTTGGCATCGTTTTTATTTTTTTCATTTTTCTGCATTATTTTTATTGTTGTTACTGTTGATATTATCAATATTTATGCTAGTTGGATTGCAGTAGGATATTTGTGAGTAAACTCAGAAGTTTAAAATTTGAAAATTATTTGTTGAATTTTTGATATTCCATTAATTTTTTATAATCATTCCCATTGCCAACGTGAATGACAACATGATGTTTACACGATTGAATTAATTCATAAATTATAGAAGAAAATGAAATCTATGATCGAAAAAAAAACTATTTGTTATTTTTCCATTCAGTAAACATTCATTTCATTTCGGAGAAAATATTGATGTTACTATAATAAAGTACATTGAATTTCTTAACCATAAGATTTAATGTTCAAATTTTAAATTACTGTGTCGATCTCTTCTCTATCACTTATCTATCACCCTCTTACTATGCGACAGGTCAACCAACACAGTACTAAATCTTGTCAAAATCCGGAATTTCTCTTTTCCTTTATACTCTCGCTCCATTATAGTTCTAGTGTATATGGTACTTTAAATATGAACAATATCATTTAGATAAGCTTTCTCCATTACGAAATAATCAACACCTTGTCATTATATTCTGATAAAATGAAGATAATTTGAATCAGTAATTCTTGAAAATGCTCCAGTAGTGCATAGTTATCATTCATTATCATCATTCATCACTATCACCATCATTATCATCATCACTATCAATATCATCATTACTATCCTCATCGGCACTATCATCGCTATGATCATGTCACTATCATTATTATCATCGCTATCAATATCATCATTATCATTATGATCAGCACTATCATCATCAACAATAGCTTCAATTGCCATTTTATGTTGAAGAGAGCATCGGGCGCAGATAATTAAAGACGGTGTTTTTATTTCCTTCCACTAACTTTTTGTCGTTATTTTTAAGGGTAAATATTTCGGAGAGTAACAGCTTTAGTTATAAAAAGAAGGAAAAGAAAAAGAAAAAAACACATTCCTTCCATATTTTCCAATGCAATCGGCTGAATAAACCGTTATCGTTCCCTGAAATCAATTTCAATCTTCGACACAAAATAGTATTAATTAACTATGTTCTACTTGTTTTTGAAGTTTTATTCTGTTCATCCTATCTTTTCAAACATTAATAAAAAGAAGTCATGTAATATTATTCAATATTTCAATTGCAATAAATTTGAATCATAAAATTAGTTTGTTACTTTCTAACCAGATTAAATTTTTTTTTTTAAAATTTTCAATCAGATCAAACTTTGTTCTCACATGAAAACCGTATTTTAAATTAGTTTTTTCTGCCAGATAAAAATCAAACAAAATGGTCTGCCCGAGAAGAAGTGAAGGATTTCTACATAGATATTTCAAATAATATGAAATGCTTTTCGTAAATGAAACCTGTCTCTTTGTTTGTTCACGAAAATAGCAATGACATTAGCAAAGCGGCTATTATTGTTGATGAAATTCTTTCAAACACTGCCATCCTCATATGATCATCTTTGTTTGTTCACTTATCTAGATTATGTTGGAAAACTTATCACCTTTTGTTTACCTTCAAGTCTTGTGATTTAAATTCCAAATTTAATGACTACATAATGTCTCCTTTGTTTCTTTTTTATTTCATCCAATCTGTTGGATGTAAGCTTTTATAAACACGAACAACAGTATTTGGTTTGGAAGTGGGTCAGCATAATGAAATTTAAAATGATATATAACAAAATGAAATGAATTAATTCACTGAAAACGATTATTATCTTTTCAAAATAAGCTGCTCCGTTATATTATATCGCAGAGAACGCTTCTTTTTTGAATTACACTAAAATGATTTCTTAAATAACTTTTTTGCTTTCTTAAATTCATTTGCTTCAACAAATTAATACATTATTACGGATCATTCCGAAATGTTACTCATTTCACCCTTTATTTCACAATATCACTCATTTCATCTGACCTTTTAGCAAGTCTTCCCATTCATGAAATTTTTAATTAAAATGTAATCCTTAATGGAGGATCAAAGAAAGTTTACCGCATGAGAGATTATGATGCCACGTTGGTTTATGATATTATAAATTTGTAGACTGGGTTAAAGATATTAAATAATCGATGATAAGGCAAAGAAAGTTGTCTTAAAATTTTTACAACTTAATTATAGAACAAAATTCACTTTTACAAAATGCTAATGAAAATAATAATTTTATAAAATTCACCAGAAGAACAATGATATTGTTAGCTTAAAGAAGAAAGCTTAAAATGGGAACGGGAAATACATCATTGACATATGAACGAGAATTGAGAAAGAAATAATTGATGTTACAGTGTGTTTGAAAATATACGAATGTCTTTTTCTTGATGTTTCCTATTCCAGTAATTAAATGCTTTTGAAATTCTTTTCAAATGAAAGGAAAAATGGAAAGAAAATTAACTTTCAAACATTATTCTTATTTGTAAATGTAATGATTGAAAAGTTTGAGTATTTTTATTGATAGTATTTTTCGCCGTTCCCAAATATTTTGCCTAATCGGATGACATTCAATGTTGCTATCCTATCTGAAACTCATTCATCATTTCTACCTTTTTTTGTGAAACCTAAACAAAAAAAAGAAAAAAAAACCCTACACTTTCAAATTACACTACTTTGAATAATTAATACTTTTCCTTCTCTTCCCTCCTCTCTCCTCTCTCTCTTCTACGCCTTTTCATTTCATAACGACAATTGATTTTTGAATTTTGAAAAGTTTCCACTATTTTTTGTCATCCAAATTTACTGTTTGAAATTATTTGAATGTCTTTATATTTTTTACCTCATTAGTTTACTGCTAACAACAATTAGCTAAATTTCATTTGAATAATGAAAAATTTATATAATTCAGAATTCAAACTATTAAGTCTCGGCCACTGTATTTTTTTTTTTGCTTGAAAATAAAGTACTGAATGTTTTTTTTGTTTTAATTTCTTTTGAATATATCGCATGAAAATTAGTCAATCTGTTAGAAAAAGATATTTGGTCTCGTAAAAAAATAAAAATAAGTTAGAAATTCTGTTAAAAAACAAAAAACCAAAAATTCCACTTACACAACCAATTAATTGGAATTATCGTGTCCAAATTTACAAATTCAAAGATAAACTATTAATTTTCTGAGAGAACATTTTCTCTCTCTCTCTCCCTTTCTCGCTCTCTTTTCGTCTATTATGTTCTCATCTTTCCTCTTTAAATCACTCATGTCATATCTCATTCACTATTTCCTATCATCCCATTCATATATCCATTAATCCATTCCATTCGGCTATCATTTTTTTCTAATATTTAAAATGTTTTCACCATTTTTTAAATTTATTCTTTCATCAAACGTGTGATTTAATAGTATTTTGTTTTGTGGGATAATGCGTTTGTAGGAGAGAGAAAAGAGAGAGAATGCGGAAAAAAGATTTTTATAGTCAGATAGTATTAGAAAGGGTCAAAGAAGGGTCAAAGAAAATAGTTTTCATCTCTCTTTTAAAAAAATATAAATAAAAATGTAAATAAACCATATTCCACTCTTTGCCACAATTCAAATAATGATAATGCAATCTTAGAATGTATGAAAATAGCAGAAAAAATGATAACGATTATCAATGATCACATTGAGATATCATTATCATCATACTTATTATCCTTGTCGTTACCATCATTACTAATAAGATCTCACTAAATTCTTTACGTAACAATACTTTATCATATATCCTTGAATTTTCTTTATTTCATTAAGCATTAATCGTTAAATAATCTAAATTTCTTTATTTTACACAATTTTTTCTTCCTTCCGCTTCTTCGTAAAACATATGAAAGAGAGCTAACTTTGTAAGAATATAAATGATTGCATGCGATTTACAGTCATATCGTAATTTACAATAATTTGATGGTTGTGTTTTATAATCACCTACTGATTACATGCAATCAGTCGTTTCAGTCAGGTTTTTTTTCATTCTAAATGAATTTTGTGTGCAATAAGTAAAAAGCATCTAATTTATCATTTTTATCGAAAAATTGGACTATTCATTTTATCACTTCTTATCACACTATCCACGTTATGCAAGATTTTCCATAAGTTTCCTTATATCATCATCACAATTTTCGCTTAC